GGACGACAATGAGCCTTGGAGTGGAGTCACACTGTCAATTTCCGAACTCTAGGCCCTGACTGCCTGGTCCCCCAGAGAGCAGTGGGGAGGGGGGCGGGGGCAGAGCCTCCTTCCCACCCCTCAGGGTCGGGGGTCCCCAGGACAAGTGCAGGAACCCCAACCGGTGTCAGGTTACTGACGCCCAACGGGACACCATGGACCCGCGCTGGCTGGAGCCTGCCCACTGCCCCACGGGGTGACCTGACTGACGGGGCAGGTCTGGGAACCCAGGGGTGGACAGGGGGCAAGGCCCTCGCCCACTTTGTTTGGTTTGTTTGCTTGTTTGGGCCGCAAAGGCCTCTGGGGTCTGTGTTCAAAGGATGTGTCCCCGGACCCAGCTCCATCATTTGCCCAAAAGGGTCAAAGGGTGTTGACACGAGAGATTCCCCCCCTCCGTCCCCCTAACATCTTGCTCGGAGGCCAGTGGGGGATGCCGTGTCTAAACACCTGTGCTGCGGGGGAAGGAGTTCTCCCTGCTTTTCCTGCGGAAAGGCTGTCTCTGGGCCTGAAGACCATCAGGTGGAGCAGGCGGAGGACAGACCAGTGGGAACAGCGGAGAGCACCGGAGGCTGCGCAGAGAAACCGGCTCTCCTCGCCGCCTCCCGGGCTACTCAGCAGCTGCCTCGGGGTGCTGCCCCTCCAGGCAGCGATCGTTCCTTAGCAACCTCATGTTTACCCCCCAGGGCGACCTCCGACCTCCGAGGAGCAGGAGCACCTCCTGGGTGCAAAGAGCATGTTCCAGAAGCCGCGCTCCCCCAGCTTCGCGCTCCCCCAGCTGCTGCCCGGGCTCCGGTTCCACTTCCACCAGGAAGTGCTCCCTCCCTGCCTCCAGGTGTCTTTGTTCAAACCTCCCTCCATCCGGGCATTAGTCACTGTGCGCGGCTGCCATTGGTTCTCAGAGCTGCTTCCCACCTGCACAGCCTTCCCCCCACCCCCTCCCGCCGCAGCTTGGCCTTAAGGAAGAAGGAAGGAAGGAGAAACTAGAACCTAAAGGAAATTCCAACGGAAGACGGGCTGCCCGGTTGGTTACGCACAACATGGCTAACCTGAGGCCGTGTGCGCAGCAGAACAGCGCGGGGCTGCGAGCGGAGAACTGCTGTCCTCAGTCAGGGTCCCCTGGCCCCGGTGGCTCCGGGGCTGAGCGCTGACCTATGAACCAGGAGGTCATGGCTCGATTCCCGGTCAGGGCCCAGGCCCGGGTGTGGGCGTGCAGGAGGCAGTCGATCCATGATTCTCTCTCATCACTGATGTCTCTTTCTCCCTCTCCCTTCCTCTCTGAAATCAATAAATTAATTTTAAGAGTCCCTCTAGCAGGACATCCCACTATTCCAGGGACTCATGTGGCAGGCACTGTCCTCAGCAGCTGATTAGTCCTCCTAGCCGCCCCCCCCACCTCGGCACCCATAAATGGAGCGCTCCCGGCTCTCCAGCCTCCGAGCCCGAGGCTGGGGAGATGGAGTCGGTGGCCTGGATCCCAGGGACTGGAACCCAGGTCGGTTAGACCTCAGCGCTCAGGTTCCTAACCTCCATCCAGCCCCGTCCAAGGCAGCAGGCGTGGGTAACCCGACCGCCCGCTCCGACTCAAGATGCCCCACATGCTCCGGGGCGCGTGGGTACCAGGGAGGCGGGCACGGACTGGCCAGCGTCCCGCAGGGCTCACCGCGTCCTTCCAGCCCGGCCAGCACACAGCCAAAGCAGCTCGGTGCAGCCTGGGTAGGTCCTCGGACGCGACAGGAACAGCCCCTGGGAGGGAGGGGAGCGCCCCGC